GCCCCGAAACACTGTTAGGGCAGGTCTGCTTCCTGGAAGGGGCTGGGGTTTTGGATGTGACGTGATGGGAGCACAGTCCCGTGTAAAGGGAAGGGCTGGCAGGAAGCGGGGCACAACCCTGGGCTTATCTCTCCCCACAGGGAAGTGCAGATGTCCTTTTCCAGGCTGCTGGGCTGTCTGTCCCTGCTGGAGCTGGGCCGGGGATTGGCGGGGGGGGGGGGGGGGGGGGGGGGGGGGGCCGGCTGGGAGACCACTGTGCTCAGTCATTCTTGCTCCTTTGGCAGATGCATGGGACCTTTTGCAGGGGCTGTTACAGTCCTTGCACAGTGCAGGAGATGCTTGGGGAGCAGAGCAGAATTATCTATGGGTCCTACCTCAGCGTCTCTGCAAGGCCTGGGATTGGGAGAGGGTGCAGGCAAATTAGGGGAAAGTTAGGGGAGGGTCAGGCCTTGACCTTGAGGCCCCAACACTGGTACAGAGCCTGATAGGATGGGGGAGCATAGCTACCTCCACTCCAAATCACCCATCTGGAGGTGGTAGTGGTGGCAGAGATGGGCCCAGATGGGGATGACAGTCTTCAGCCTGAACAGGTCATCTGGGAGATTTGGCCATGAGGTGGGGGCTGGGAGCAGTATGGCTCAGGCTGAGGTGGCAGAGAAAGGGTAGCCCCAGCTCACAGACACATTTCTGCCAGGAGGTGAGAAAAACAGTCTTTCCTTTTAGTCTTCCAAGTCGTAAAGATCATAAGATCACCGCTGAAAAAGAACACTGTCCTGAGTTTTCATTTCTGTGCAGTCTGTTGCCTTTGTGTGGCCCAGGAGCCCCCAGTCAAGTACGCTGGGTGCGAGGTCATGGCCCACGATGGAGACGGGCTCCAGGACCCCCCCTTATTGTCTTCCTTCTCTTGCTGGTCTCACTTCCCCACTTTCCAGTGGATTTGCCAGGATCCCATCCCACAGAGACTCTGTACTGAAATGCTTGTCTTACAGACTCTGCTTCCTGGGAGTCAGTCCTGATGAAGTTACATATATTTAAAGGTGACTCTGTGCCAGGGCTATGTCTCTGAAGTGCCTAGGTCTTATGTTCGGTATGGATTACTTTTGGTTCCCTGGCAGTCCCTCAGCCTTAAAGGAACATCAGCCATGTGTTTACTGGTCTGAGACATCATAAGAATTGGTCAGCAAGTGCTGGCCAAGGGGCGTATTTTGTGCCGGGCACTAACCATCCTCTCTGGGCTCCTGGTCTTTCTGAGTCAGCCTGTTCTCCTACAGCCAATGATTACAAGTTGCCCTGGCCTGCCTTCCGGCTCCCTGGCTTCCTGATCTCCAGGCTGCTCACCTCACTGCCGCTGGACTGGATTTCCCAAAATAGAGGCCAATGCATGGATTCCCTAAGACTCCAGTCCCAGCTCTGCCCTGCCCAGCTGTGGCACAGTGGGCCAACCATCTCTCCTGAGATTGACTCTCTTCGTCTATAAGGAGCTCTGATACCAGCCACCCAGTATCTCTGAGAATGGTGAGGAGTAGTTACAAGAGGGCTCTAGAGTCAGGCTGCCCAGTTTTGCTCCTTCCTAGGTGTGTTAGTTTGCTTGGCTGCCATAATAAAGCTTATAGGTGGCTGTCTTCTCCCGGTGTCTTCACACGGTCTTTTCTCTGCTCCTGTCTGTTTCCTAATCTCGTTTTAGAAGGACATCAGTCATTTTGGATTAAGGCTCACCCCCAGTGACCTCATCTTAACTGAATCACCCGTTTAAAGGCCTCACCTCCAACTCCAGTCACATTCTGACGTGTTGGGTTTTAGGGCTTCAGCATAGGAAGGACGCAGCTCAGCCCCTAACATTAGCTGTGTGACCTTAGGCAAGGTCATTAACCTTTCTTTCTGTGCCTCAGTGTCCTCCACCATAGAATTAGGTGCAATAACAAAGTTTTTGTGAAGATTAAATTCAAGTGCAAATTCGTGGTCTTCAAAGATTTTTGCTTGCATTTAAAAGCATTTCAAACATTTTTGCTTGCACCTAAAAGCATTTCAAAAACTATGCACCCTTGAACATTTTTTGTGAATGTCTAAACTTTTTGATCATAAGTGTAAATTGTTGCAAAGGAGGTAATTTCTAGGGCATCACAAATATGGACATCTTAAAACAAAGTGTTTCAATCTCTTTCACATCTAAATGTTACGAATTTCATAAGTACCTCTCTTTATTTAAAAAGACTGAACATGCTTCAGCTATTAGAAATTGTATATTGTTCCTTTTTCTCCTTGAACTTTTATCTTCACTTTACTTTCCCCACAAAATTTTATCCCACTTTAATGCAGTTTTTTTTTGTTTACACTGCTCTGTAAAAGTAATGTGTATAAAAATTTAAATTAAGAATTTTAAATTTCCTTATTCCACAAGTTTCTCGGTATTAAATTTTTTGTGTTGTTATTAATATTGCACAATTAATAAGATTTGGAAAATGAATATAAAATTAATCAAACCCCATAGATATTATCAATTTAGATAATCAGTCATAGAAGACCATTTTATTGGAAATGTATTTTTACTAAAATAAATTTTTATTTTAGTTCATATACCCTTGCGTGAATTTGCTTAATAATGGAATTCAGCATCACTTCTATTCCTACTTTTTAAAGTAGAGAATTGAGGCTGAATTCCATTACTAAGAATAGAAATGATGTTGAATTCTGTTATTAGGTAGATTCACACAAGGGTATATGTTCTGTCATTAAAAATTATTTTTAATACTTGACCAGCTGACAACTGGATTAGGTCATTATTTAATCCTTGTCAAAAGCAAAATATTGGAAACCTCTCTGCTGGTGAAAGCTTTAGTTGCCCAGTCCTTAGTCATTTGCTTTCTCAACACTGGCACCAACTTTTCAAATCATTTCTCGTTTGGTGCCTCCTGTTTTTTACCTCCACAGCACAAGTCAGGATGGGTGAGAGGTATGCCTTGATTTTGTGAAAAGAAACAGTGATGTGATGGGGAGGGAGGAAAGGAATGCAGCCAGAGCTCAGGCATGTTCTGGGAGAATGAATTCTGGAATAAAGAACACTGTGCTAGGTGAGGATCTAGAAAGTGATTTCCTTAACACTACCCTTCCTAGGAGTGCCCACCGGTTTGCAAACCCCAGACACATGATCACTGATTTATTTAATAAGCCTAGAGTCAGGCCAGGAACATGAAGTGTTCCAAAAAACTAATTATGGCTTTATTATTGCTATGTCTGTAAATTATCCAGCACAGAGCAGGTGCTTGGTAAACAAGATATAGAAAGAGTTTATGCACTAAAAGGGGGTAGTAACAGGTAAACCTAAAAAGCTCTTTCTTTTTTTTTTCTTTTTGAATTAGTGTTTTCTATTTATTTATTTATTTATTTATTTATTTATTTATTTATTTATTTTCAGTGTAACAAAATTCATTGTTTATGCACCACACCCAGGGCTCCATGCAATACGTGCCCTCCATAATACCCACCACCAGGCTCACCCAACCTCCCATCCCCCGCCCCTTCAAAACCCTCAGATTGTTTTTCAGAGTACATAGTCTCTCATGGTTTATCTCCCCTTCCAGTTTCCCCCCACTCCCTTGTCCTCTCCATCTCCCCATGTCCTCCATGTTATTTCTTATGCTCCACAAGTAAGTGAAACCATATGATAACTGATTCTCTCTGCTTGACTTATTTCACTCAGCATAACCTCTTCCAGTCCCATCCATGTTGATACAAAAGTTGGGTTTTCATTTCTGATGGAGGCATAATACTCCATAGTGTATACGGACCACATCTTCCTTATCCATTTTTCCGTTGAAGGGCATCTTGGTTCTTTCCACAGTTTGGCGACCATGGCCATTGTAAAAAGCCTTTTCTAAAGCAGAGACCCTGTCATGCTGGTCTGGAACCTGCCCTGGTCACCTGCAGGACAGATCATGCCAAGTGTAGCAGCTTAAAAGAACAAGGATTTTATTTGCTCACAATTCCGTCGGTCAGCAGTTTCGACTGGGCTTAGCTGAGCATTTTTTCTGGTCTTCACTGGAGTCCCTCCTTTGCTGCAGCCTGCTGGTGGATGAGCTGTGGCCTGGCTGCTCTGGGGCCTCAGCTGGGGTGACTTGTGCCTGTTCAATGTGGTCTCATCTCTCAGTAGGCTAGCCGGGCTTCTTTACGTGGTAGCAGAAGAGTTCCCTGCAATGAAACAACAAATGAGCAAACCTCAGAGCGCAGGGACCGGTTAGGCCTTTGCTTGCGACATATTGGTTATTGTTCCATTGACCAAAGCACGTCTGGCGGTCAAGCAGTTTCACAGCGGTGTGGACAGACACAGGGAGGTGCGATTCATTGGGACCATCGATGTAATGATCCACCACCCACCTCCGGAGCCCATGGCTTTGCTTCTATTTGAAGTGAACTCAATTGTGAGATTAGATTGGCCACTTATTAGGATAACTGCCTAGTTCTTGTTTTTCCTGTGCTGCTAGAATCTTTTTTTTTCCTCTATGAGACCTACTGTGGAGGATGTCTTGCTCTAAGACTGTTTTTCCAACATACCCCCCTGCCCCCAGTAGAGTGTTGATCAGAGAACACAATGCCACTTTGCAGAGAGGAGCATCTAAATGGAAACAGGTTGTCCCCAAAGGCTTTCTCATGACTAAGGCAGAGCTTCCAAGTTGGGTGACTATTACTCTAAGACCTTCCAGATCAGAACCCACCTCAACCTGGCTTGGAAAAAAAAAAAAAGACTGTTTTGGGTCATCAAACTAGGAGGTCTGGGGTATATGGTTCATGCCTGGCTCAGTCTAAGTGTGGAACAGTATTGAGTCAATGTGGTGTCTGTGCTATGGTTATGCTTACTCATCCAAAAAGAAGTATGAAAGCTCCAAGAAGTGGCTTGTACCAACATCTGGGCAATGCCTGGGTACCTACGTTCCCCTGTGATTCCTGGAGCACATGCTTCTAAAGTAACATTTATTTACCATCTTCTATTTCTTTTCATTTTACAGCGAGACATTATTTGGTGAAATGTCCCCAGAACAGGTAGGAATACTTTTTTTCTTTTTTCAAATGAAACTCTTTGATATTTTCCTTTCTATTGATATTACCAAGAAATTGGCTTAATTTGTATCTTTACCTAAGGGTCTGCATGGTAGTTTGCAGGTTGGCCTAAAAATGTGTGTTCTTCATGCACTTGGGTGTTTCTAGATTCCGTGCTCTGGTTTTTACCCTCAGATTCCAGAGAAAATATAACTCATGCTGGTTCAACATGCCAGCTGGAGGAGGCTTGGCACCTGTTCCTGGACAACTGTTTCCCCTGTGTAGGAGGAAGCTAGCAGCTAGACTGAAGCACTTTGATGCTTTCTGGCCACAAATCCTCCTAATTCCCTTCTACCAGTTCCTGCTTGCCCTCTGCCCTGCTCTGCAGAATGTGGCCATTAGAAATACATGTGCCGAGATGCTAGCCTTCTAACTGGTGGAACACACCTCACAGGTAACATAACAGTTAGAGCAGACATTGCAAACTCATAGTGTTTAGAAATTTGAGACTTCTGGTTCAGGCACAATGGCATAGGTCAGTTTCTCCCTGCTCTTCCCTGCTAAACACAGCCATAATCCCTGAAAATACTGCCAGAGACAACCAAAGGAGGGCTCTGAAAGGGGGTAAGAAGAAAATGATGAAAGACAAAGAAAAAAAATCTTAAAAGCAATGAGAGTGAAACAATGCATTATTTATGGGGAACACAAATTGGAACGACAGTGCAGTTTTCATTGGAATTGATGGAAAGCAGAAAGAAGTGGTATATTTTCTCTTTAAAAGATTTTATTTATTTATTTATTTATTTATTTATTTTAGGGAGAGAGCAAAGGAGAGAGAGAGCAGGAGCAGGATGAGGGGTGAAGGGGGAGAGGGAGAGAGAGAATGGCAAGTGGACTCCTTGTTAAGCACAGAGCCTGATGTGGGCTTGATCTCATGACCCTGAGATCCTGAGCTGAGCCAAAATTAAGAGCTGGGTATTTAACTGACAGGGCCACCCAGGCAGCCCAAGAAGTGGCACATTTTCAAATATTGAAAGAGAAGAACTGTCAACTACAAATTCTATATCCAGCCCAACTGTCCTTTAGGAATAAAGGGGAAATAAGGACATTCTCAGATGAAGGAAAACTGAAAGAATTTGTCACTATGGGTCCTACATTAAAAGAAAGGCCAAAATAAATTCTTAAAATAGAAGAAAAAGACTTGATACATTAGGGAAGAAGATCAACAGTAGAACAGAAATATGGGTACATAAGTAAGCTATTCTTTTCCTCATGAGTTTTAAAAATAATATAATCAAAACAAAATTATAAAACCATCTGATACTCAGGAAAAGCATTAAGATATTTAGAAGTGGGGAGGGGGAAGTTACCTAAATAGAAGTGAAGTTTTTACACTTCCTTCAAAGTGATAGAAATTTGGTAAGTCACACATTTATTTATCACACTCAAAGCAACCATTAAAGTGACTATGAAATAAATACACTCAAAAACAGTATAGAAAAATACAGAATCCTAAAATATGTTCCAGTAACATAAAGGAACAGAGGAATAAAAACCACAGGAAATAAACAGAAAACAGATCATAAAATGGCAGACTTAATTGCTAACATACTGTTTCTCTTACCTGGTTTAAAACTTAAACAGTTTAAATACATCAGTCAAATGACAGAGATTGACAGAGTGGATTAAAAAACACACACACACATACAACCTGCGTATATGCTCTTTACAAGAAACTCACTACAAACTCGGTGACTTAGGTAGGTTGAAATAAAAGGATGGAAACAGTTCTAGCACATAAACAAAACCAAAACAAATCTGGAGTGGGTAGACTAATAATATGACAAAATAGACTTTAGAGCAGAGACACTTACTAGAAACAAAGAGGGACATTCGATAATGACAACAGGATCAATCCACCAGGACAAAGACCCTAAATGTATGTATACACACCAAACGGGAGAACTACCAAGTACATTAAGCAAAGAAAAAAGAGCTGAAAGAAGAAGGAGATAAATCCACAGTTACAGTGGGCAGCTCTAATGCACCTTCTCAGCAACCAGGAGACCTGCTGAACAGAAATTCGCAAGGGTATGGAAGATCTAAACACCGCAATCAAGGACAGGCCCAAATTGATACAGATCGAACACTCGGACCACCACCGGCAGAACACGTGTATTTCCAGCCCCTGCAGAACATTCGCCATAAGATCTAGCCTATCTTAGACCAAATGTTGGGCTTTAAAACAAACCCCAGCAAACTTAAAGCACTGGAACTCATACAAACACACAGCACACTTTAAAAATAATGCATGGATCAAAGAGGAAGTCTCAGAGGAAGTTAAAAAAAATACAGAGAATTGACCAAAAATGAGAATAAATGCAACAAAACATGTGTGATGCCTTTAAAGCAGTGCTGATGGGGAGATGTATGGCCTTAAATGCTTGCATTAGGAATTAGGAAAGCCCTCAAATCAACAATCTGAAGTCTCACCTCAGAAAATTAGGAAAAGAGCAAAATAAACCCAAAGCAGGCAGAAAAGAATGAAACAATAACGGTCAAAGCAGAAACTGATGAAATTGAAAAGATCAAAACAATAGAGAAAAATCAGTGAATCAAAAATCTGGTTCTTAGGAGACTGACTGCTGGCAGAAAATGGGTAAAGTGTACCCAAGATCTCTCTGCTTTATTTCTTATGACTGTATGTGAATCTGCAGTTTTCTTCATAAATACTTCAGTTGGATGTGAATTTGGATGTCTCTGGAGGGTCCTCTTTACTGCCCAGCAGTCCCTATACCTGACTGCTTTGCATTTCTGCTGCTGAGTTTGGGATCCAGAGAAACCCTATTACTAAAATCAAAATATAAACTTCTTTTATTGAGAGTTCACCACCTACCAGGTAGTTGTCTAGAGTAGTCCAACAGTGAAGAAGAGAGATAGAAATCCCTGCTTCGTGGAACTTAGTAGGCATTGAATGCAAATGCTCGTGTCCCTGGGAGAGATATCTGACTATGGCCAAGTGAGGACATCAGCAAGTCCTCTCCCCACAAAGGCAGCTTTTAATTGAACCAAATCAACAAAAATAACTATTCTAACACTCTGGGAAGACCACAGGTGTGTACTAAACGAAGAGCCTTTTATACTGGAAAAACTGCTGAGCTGTTGCTGACAGTAGTGGGGTCTGGTGGGGTTTTGGCCTCCGTTCGCTCCGAAACTCTTCCCTCCTGCTTTGTTGGTGAGCTTTTTTCAGAGCAGGGAGTGCTGCGAGGACCACCAGATGCTCTGTTGTTAGAAGGGGGCTCGTGCGGCTTGGAACAGTATGCAGTGCTCACGTTCAGCAGCAGTGTCACGGGAGGTGACCTTCTTAGGGGGATTGAGCAAGGAGGGCCGACAATGCTGCTAGTCTGAGCTTTTGCTCACAGTTGGGGCAAGTGTATTTCTCGCTGAGACAACATACATGGGGAGTGCAGTATGGAAAGCACCCGAAGGAAGAGAATAACACTGTGCACATAGTAACAAGAGACATGGTAGCTGAATTAATATCAGATTAGATATAATTTAAGACAAGAAATAAGATGAGGGACCAAGAAGGAAATTACAAATTGTGAAGGATTAATACCACCAGGAAGGTACAACAATTATAAATGAACATGGGCCTAACAACAGAGCCTCAGCATCCATGAAGAAAAACAGAAAAGGGAAAGATGAAATTGGTGATTCTAAAAGGATAGTTGGAGATTGCAATGGTCCACTCTCAGAAATTGATAGAATACCAAGACAGAAAATCAACAAGGGCCCAGACCATCAAGCAGTTTGACTCGACATGGAATACTCTTCCCAAAGACCACATACCGTACTTGTCAAGTGTACTGGGAATATCCACCAGGACAGACCATATATCTAGGCCACAAAACAAATCTGCATAAATTTACAAATTTTATGTATGTAAGAAATCATACAAAGGTTGTTCTCTGAGCAACAGAATTGAACAGAAATTAATGACAGAAAGAAATCTGGGAGATTCCCAAACATTTCAAAATTTAAAACAACACACTTCTAAATAATACAAAGAAGAAATTACAAGAGAAATTAGAAAATATGTTGAATTAAATACAAGTGAAAACAAAACACATCAAAACTTATAAGAGGCTGCTAAAGCAGTGCTTCAAGAAAAAATTATGGCTATATTATTAAATTATTAAATTATGGCCTATATTAGACAAGAAGAAAGACTTCAAATCAATAACCTAAGCTTTCACCATAGTTAACCAGAAAAAGAAGACCAAGTGAAATCCACGGTAAGCAGAAGAAAGGGTATAATAAAGATCATAACAGAAATCTATGACATGGAAAAAACACACACGTGCACAGAGAAAAATCAATAAAGCCAAACTTTGTTCTTTGAAAAGATCAATAGAATTGACAGATCTTAAGTAGACTATACAGGAAAATAAAAAAGAGGAAAAACCAATTACCAAATCAGGAAGCAAAAAAGAAATCGCTGGAACACTGGGGTGGCTCAGTCGATTAAACCTTTGGCTCTTAATCTAAGCTCAATTCTTGATCTCAGGGCTGTGAGTTCAAGCCCTGCATTGGCCTCCATGCTGGGCTTGGAGCCTACTTAAAATTAAAAAAAAAAAAAAAAAAAAAGGAATCACCACAGACTCAACTAAAGTTAAAAGGATTATAAGAAAATATTATGAACACATTGGTTCTAACAAATTAAACAACATAGATAAAATGGAAAAACTTCTAGAAAGACACAAACCACCAAAATTGATTTAAAAAGGAATCTATAAAGTGAATAAACCTGTAGTAAGTCAAGAAATTGAATTGTTAGCTAAAATCTTTCCAACCAGGAAAAGCCCAGACCCACATTGCTTTACTGGTGAGATATATCAAGAATTAAAGCAAAATATAATACCAGCCCCTCACAAAGTAATTCAAAAAATTTGAGAAAGCATGATCTTTTCAACAAATAATGCTGGGATAAAATACAGAAA